TGTAAAAATTGTTTATTAAAAGCTTGCATTGTATAAACAATATTTATGTGAAAACTATACGCGATAATAGTTGGGAACCAATTAAGGTAAAGCCATAATGATTTCTTATATTTACGCGAACACTACACATTTAAATGAAACTAATTTTACGGATTTTATCGCGTATATTAACTAATTTTATATTCCCGACGTTTCGAGCACTTTACAGCGCCCATGGTCACGGGGTGGGGGGGGACTGAGGTGTATGATGTCCCAATGTCATAGTTAACCACGGCTACCTCCAGATTAAAAATTATTAATTTTTGTTCCGATCTACGCAGTATGAACTTACAGTATCATGAAGTCTTGCAGTTGCATGCTTGGGTTGGGATTTAATTTTATTAATTATGGGATCCCAAGCAGATCGTAGCACCCAGCTATTTTCTCTATTGAAATTAGGATGTTGGATTTGTGGTCTATCAAATCTAATGTAGTGACGGGGGCGATCCTGTACATGTTCACAGACTGCAGACTTCCCGGAGCGTCGATTCTTCACATGAGCTATGTGTTCTTTAACGCGTAGCGCTTAGAACACATAGCTGATCCAAATTTCAATAGAGATGGCTGGGTGCTACCATCTGCTTGGGATCCCATAATTAATAAAACTAAATCCCAACCCAAGCATACAACTGCAAGACTTCATGATACTGTAAGTTCATACTGCGTAGATCGGAACAAAAATTAATAATTTTTAATCTGGAGGTAGCCGTGGTTAACTGTGACATTGGGACATCATACACCTCAGTCCCCTCCGTGACCATGGGTGCTGTAAAGTGCTCGAAACGTCGGGAATATAAAATAAGTTAATATACGCGATAAAATCCGTAAAATTAGTTTTATTTAAATAAGGTAAAGCCATTAACTAAGCTAGTATACATTGCAAAAGAGTACCAACAAACTAACGTTTTATTCATTTGTAACATTTCCTCAACACCTAAAACGTTATCAAAACATAACATATTTATAAAAAAAAAAAAATTCTTCATCGCCAGTCCATAAATTTTCGCTGCTAGGCATGAACCTTCCCGTTTCAGGAAGGATTTCACTTAATCGTCACACTTGGCAGGCGGTTTGATAACTGCAGTACCAGACCTCCCGCGCCTTTGACGCTGTCGATGAATTCTTTCTTGTTCTTTTTCTTTACGACATCTAACTAAAAATATTAAATACATTTTTGTAAAATATTTTGGTTTAATAATTGTTTTTATTAATAATTATTGGTCGAGGTAAAAATGATACACATAACAACCTTTAAAAATAAAAATACTATGATCATATTTCTTTCATAAATAAAAAAAATTGGTTCATTTATTATGGTGTTACATGTTGACAGGAGTGACCCGAAAATTCAACAATACTGTTTCGTTGGTCGCCATCGATCGTTGACCCCGAGTTTCCCTTAGGCGCGATACAAATTAAGGAAGGGTCTTGTATTTATTAGGAGTACGGACCAGCAGGAAATGACGAAATTGGGGTTGCAAGCAGTTGTCACCAGTCCCTCTTGTTTATTAACATTTAAAATTTTATGCTTAAGACAATAACGCCACGTGAAGAAAATACATCACAAAAAATAAAACCTGTTTATTGAATATTGTTAAGGGATATCGATTTGTAATATTAGGTGCGAAAAACAGAATTATCGCATGAAAGGTGTAATATTCTAATACGAAGAAAGCTAATAATACCTCTAATATCCTTAAATGTGTTGAATTTTGTAATTCAATCATCCTCAAACGGCTGGAGGGATTTTAATTAAATTTGCCATCTCTCAAGTCTACATCGATACTTACATAAAGGCCAAATAAAGCGGGTGGGTAACAGATACTTTCTAATATAAAATGGTAACTTGTTGAAATAATAAAAACTGTATGAACAGTACAGATTAAAATAGAACATTTGTATGCAGAATAGATTACTAACAACAATTAATAACTTTATCACAGGTTTGTAAGTCACTTAATATCTTTACCACAGGTTCGGAAAGGTATGTGTCTTGGGAATAACCATTTTTGTGTAAGGCTTTTAGAGAATTATTTGCAGTGTTTGTGGTACATTTAAATATAGACTTAGGATATACAGGCGTATAGACCGACATAGTGTGCAAGGGAGAAGAAAATTCCTTATGGCAAAAATGCAGGATAGAAAAGGATGCCAAATCTTACGACTCTGTAACTGATTTTGAACGACAGGTCGACATAAGTAGGCCGGCAAGAAATAAGTCCCTAGACATTTTGTAATGTTTAGAGTGTAATAGTGGTTATTTTTAGTAAGTTACTTTTTTACAAAATAGTTACTTGTTCTGTGAGTGACTGTGGTGTTAATAATAGAAATAATCCTGATAATTGTACATTTCACAGGTAAATTCTCAAGACGTCGCCAATGTTATGACGCGTTTATTTTTGGTTAAAATTTATGTTATATACTGTTTAAAATATATAATGTTTTCAATTATTTTGTTAATTTTGATATTTTGAAAAGAAAATAGTCACATTGTGTATAATTTGTGTGAATTCGGTAAATGCATTTTTATAAAAAATATTTTAAATGTAGGCTAGGGATTGACTCAACTATATTAAAATTAATGTCGATATTTATCTTGAATGTTTATAATAAATCGATAGACTTGCCAACACAACAAGAAAATAAATCCTCGTTTTGCGTTCTAAAAAAGTAATTTTATTTTAACGTTTGTAAAACAGATTCCCTCCGGATTCTATAATTAGAAAAAATGTTTAAGGATAAATGGACGGGTTAGTTGGAATCCAAAAAAGAAGTCAACATTGTTCAGTAAACATTTTCTTGAGAAGTACGTATAAAAGAAAAAGTAGAATAAAAACAATTTTATTAACAGGAGCCATTTCTACATTATTTCTACCAGTATGCATAATACTCTTTTTGTTATAATAATAAGTTTGTAAGTATAACAATAATAAGTTTGTAAGTATAACAATATGTTACAAAAGAAATTCCGGGTAACTGTCCATGGTAGTAAATATATTTCTCCAAAGGTCATCACTCAAAAATACAACTTTTCGATCTGATTCTTGAGGAGTTTTTTTAAGTTTATCGGTAGAATCAAAAAATTCCCAGGTGACAACCTGGGGATTTTTTATACAAAAGGCAGGTAGGTTCAGCTTATTCCTGGGAAATATTAGTAATTTAAATATTTTTTTAATTATTTTAAAACTATTACGGTAAAAATTCAGGTAATTTGCGAAGTTATTCAATTTCATGCACTAAACTATTTTTTAATATTTTTACCGCTTCCTTAACAATAATTTTTCGTTAGTCCGTGTAAGTAAAATACGTCACTAGCTATGTAGTCTATATTCTAAGTCTACGCTCACTACACGCGTTTAGTAAAACAGAACACTGTTACTAGCTGGAAAGAAAAATATACTAAACCTAGAATCGAATAACAGCTGTTCATTTATTACTACATTGTCTACTATGTACATTTATTACTACATTGTTATTGTTAAAAAAATTGCCCGTTTTTCATATGACCTAACCACACATACTTAGATTATTGATAAGTCATCGCGAGCTCTGACTAGATACCGCCGGCGCTCTTGTAAAATGCGGCAACAACTACTACGCCGTAATCTGCGTACCCGAGCCAGTCGCGTTGCAGGCAACGTGTGAGGTGGACGTATCGAATGTTTTATTAAATTTTGATCATAATCCGAAGTAAAATACCAGTTTACATAGTGAAACTGTGTAAAAATAATACTACAAGAAATAAGAAAGACACTGGGATCACATACTATCAGTAAGTATCATAAAATTTCGAAATTTCCACAAAATAACACGAGCCATAAATAGGTCACTAAATATGAATGACGCCATTCAGTGTTGCTGCGTATACAAAAATAAAGTTCCACGTGGCTGAGATTTTTATATGTGAATTTATTGTTACTATATTTTATATTATATTTAACTCATTATAATATAACCTTGTTTTGTATTATATAATGTTTATTTCTGTAGTATTGCTCAAATTACATAATTTCCGTTTATAAGGGTTCCGTACCCAAAGAGTATCAAAGGGACCCAAGTCTACTATTGTTCCGTCTGTCTGACAACAAACATAATTTTTTTCTGTATTGATATGTGTTTTGTTTACAGACTGTAGCGAAACCTTGATTAACACGCAATAAAATGATTCTGTGTGTATGGTGGGATTGAAAGGCTATCGTTTATCATGAGCTTTTACCGCCGGATAAAACCATCGATTCGGATCTCTACCACTACCAAAAAATAATGCAACAAGCAATAAATAGAAAAAGAAAACCGCCGGCATTGATAATAAGAAAAGGAGTGGTCTTTCATCATGATAACGCCAGATCACAAGATTAGTTATCTGTTTGAGACTATCAATACACACTAACATTCCTAAAAATCCAGTATTAGCTTGGGTACTTAAAACTGGTTTAAAACTTTTAATCATTATTTTCTTTTGTTGTTTATCTTCTATAAAAGAAAGCTTTCTGGAGTTTTCAATATTAAGGTTTATAATATATTGTTACGCGTTCTAAATAATTAAGAATATTATTATTTTTTTCCATTATAAATGGGATGTCTAAATCTATGTTCCTTCAAATCTCTGGTATTGAATATATCAAATAAAACTACTTGTCGCATTTTTGTTAATCAAAAATCCCAAGATTTCTACAGCAACGCGATTATGTCACTACCTACAAGATGGCAAAAGTTAGCGAACAGAATGGACCCATATATATTATAATTAAAGGTAATAAAACTTTAAAATAAAAACATCTTGAATTTGTATACAAAATACCAAGGAAACTTTTTCCCCGATCTTATATACTAAGTATATAAGATCAATCTGTACGTAGACGCCGGACCTTACACACGTACCTAGCGTAAACTAGTTCGCAATTACTTATTAACGCGATTCTCAAACTTTTTTGTATACCTTGTTAGTAAGCTATTAAAATATGTTCAAGTGTACGCGTTGTGACAGAGATTTCAGAGATGGGGTAAAGTGTTCCGTTTGCCAAGAACGTTTTGACTTTCCATGCGCTGGATTAACGGAAGCTGGCTACCGTAGGTTAGGCGAGGATAGAAGAAATAACTGGAGATGCACATCTTGCAAGGACGCCAAAGCTCCTAGTCCGCTAAACCTACCTTCAAAAAATACACTTTCAAAAAATACACCTTCTGTTAAGTCTCTTTCACTGGTGGACATGGAGATGATTGCTTCGGAGCTTAAAAGTTTATCTTCACAGATGAACTCACTTCCTACCTTAATAGCAAGCGTCAAGGCTATACAAGCTGATGTGGCCGACCTAAAGTCCATAAAGGCCGATATCGAAGATCTTAAGCTTATGAAGCCGGAGGTGGCTGATATGAGGACTTCATTGGAATTTGTTCAGTGTTCTGTTGAATCTTTGAATAGTAAGATCACAGAAATAAATCAAGAAATCCAGAGTTTGCTGAAGACAAAAGATGATGTAGTTCAATTGAAGCAACGTCTGGAGAACTTTGAAGACTCCATGCGGGAATTTGAACAAAGGTCTCGTATGAATAACATCGAGATCAAAGGAGTGCCGATGTCACCCTCAGAAAACCTTTTCGAGATTTTTAGTAAGCTTGGAGATCATATCAATTGTGTCATCCCAAAAAATCAAATTAATTACATTGCGAGGATTCCTATGCGTAACGATAAACTAAATAAAACAATCATCATCTCAGTGCATAATAGATACCTTAAGGAGGACTTCGTAGCCGCAGCGAAGAAGCGCACCATTGTTCCAGCGGACCTGGGTTTAAGAGGTGACAATAGAATCTTTGTTAATGACCATCTTACTCTGGAAAACAAGATGTTGCTAAATAAAGCCAAAAAACTAGCGAAGGAGCGGGGGTTTGCTTATGTTTGGGTAAAGGGATGCAAAATATTTGCAAGAAAAAACCCAACGTCTCATATAATTACAATAAAATCGGAATACGATTTAAAAAAGTTTTCCTAGTCATTACAATTAGCGCTTTTATATTGTTAAAATCATCTTCCTCTTTTAACTGTGTTTTAGTTAGTTTGAGAAACGCTTGCCCTCTAACATTTAAGTTTGTCTACCTGCTTGATATCGTTATGCATTCACTTACTCCCGCTGCACACTTGTTTACTCAATCATATTATATCGCTCCACCGTCGATTTGCTTTTGCATTTTTGTATCTTTTGTTTACGCTTATAGCCTTATTGTATTTTTAGTTTTTTTTAATGTTGCCCACAAATTTAACGTTTTTTTACGCATCTTTTCAAACATATTGCTTTATTTCACCTTTCTACACTTATTACTTGTTATTATAACTAATTATGTACTAGTTTTAATGTTCAAAAATGGCGATTAATATATATTACCAAAATGTACGTGGTTTACGTACAAAAACTTCGGCCTTCTATAGAAATATTAACATAAACTCTTATGATGTTATATGTTTATCAGAAACTTGGTTGAATGAAAGCGTTAAAGATAGCGAATTATTCGATGATAGGTACATAGTTTGGCGACGGGATCGAGATTACAAAATAATTAATCAAACATTGGGGGGTGGAGTGTTAATTGCTGTTCGCCGGGACCTCTCAGCAGAAGTTCGTAGTGATTGGTGTTCGAATGCCGAGGACTTATGGGTAACATTGACACTTAAATGCCGGAATCCTAAGGTAGTGTATAAACTGCATATTTGTACGGTATATATATGTAACCAAAGCGTATTTTGTTCACTACCAACTCAGTTAACCGCATACTCCCAAAAACTTTGTGATACAATATTAAAACATCCTTGCGAAAAATTTATAATTCTTGGCGACTTTAATATGCCTAACATAATCTGGAAGTCGTGTGATCAAAACATTTCATATATACCCGAGAACATACAGGGCTCTTATCAATTTGATTTATTTGATAACATTAATATATGTAATTTATCACAATACAATTATATACATAACACAAATAATAGAATTTTGGACTAAATATTCTCTAACAGCACGTTAGCTGTTAACCACTGCGGAAACCCGCTAATACCCGAAGATACTCATTATCCAGCTCTGTGTGTGGTTGCAGAATTTATTCAACTTCACACTCTCAAAAGTCGTCCCTATACTAAATTTCTATATCAATCTGGTGATTACGATTCTATTATTTCTAAACTTGATGCCATTGATTGGCATCAAGAACTTAACTCTAAGCCGTTAGAAGATGCCTTATTATTGTTTTATAATAAATTAGCTGACCTCCGTCAAACGTATATCCCTACTAAGACTTTTACACCAAGGTTTAAATATCCATTATGGTATAAGAAATCCCTAATTAAAATTTTGAAAGAAAAACATAAGTATCACTCGAAATATAAGAAATACGGGAATCAGTCTGACCTTCAATCATTTATTAGACTCAGAGAACAAGCCAAGACTCTGGAAAAACAAATGTTTGATACATACATTTCTAACGTTGAAAAAAATATTTGTAATAATCCTAAAGCGTTTTGGTCTTATATAAAAACAAAAAACAAAGTCAATTCATATCCCGCTGTATTACGTTTTGGAAAGAAATCATCAGATTGTGGCGCAGAAATATGCAATTTGTTTAGTGATTATTTTCAGTCAACTTTTTTAAATAGTACCCATACGTACATTAACCCAGATGTCACCTCTCAAATGAACTATAATATACCATCTGATATAGGGGATATAGAGGTCACATTTGATGAAGTATTTAAGCTTTTGAAATCACTTGACTTAAGTAAATCAGCTGGGCCTGATAACATACCAGCTGTTTTTATCGTGAGGTGCGCCAAGAGCCTTGCGTTTCCTTTGACTATATTATATCGGCGTTCTTTGTCACAAGGTTTAATGCCAAGAATCTGGAAATCGGCTTATGTCACACCAATTTACAAAAAAGGCCCAAGAGATCAAGTTGACAACTACCGACCTATTTCCAAATTATGTCTATTTGCAAAAGTGCTTGAAAGAATTGTCTATGATCAACTATATGCTGCCCTAAAACATACACTTAGCTTTCAACAACACGGTTTCGTCAAGGGTCGGTCAACAACTACTAATCTTATATTATGTACTGAATACTTATCAGAACATATGTCAGAGCCCTCACAAGTCGATGTGGTCTACACAGACTATAGCAAATGCTTTGATCGAATATACCATTTGCTATTATTACACAAAATTCAATCAGTAGGAATACGAGGTAATTTATATCGGTGGTTCACCTCTTACGTCCAAAATCGGAGTCAGACAGTTGCCCTAAATGGTTACACCTCTAAGGCCATGCCAATACCTTCTGGTGTCCCACAGGGCTCCTTGCTAGGGCCTTTACTCTTTAATATTTTTGTTAATGATATCATCATATGTTTCAAGTACTCAAAAATCCTACTTTACGCCGATGATATGAAAATGTTAAGTCCAATAACGTCCCTCGAAAGCGCATATCATTTGCAAGAAGACTTGGGTAGGTTTGAAAATTACTGTCTATACAATAAATTAGACTTAAATGTCTCCAAATGCTATATTTGCACATACACACGGAAGACTAAACCTATAATTTTCCGCTACACTATAAAACATATAGATATAACTAGAGTCAACACTATCCGCGATTTAGGAGTAATTTTTGACTCCAAATTACTGTTTAATAAACATATTGACAATATTATAAACAAAGCCTCTAAAGCTCTTGGCTTTATTTTAAGAATGTCTTCTGATTTCAATTCTATTAAAACCTTCAAAATTCTTTACTGTGCTTTCGTACGAAGTCATCTAGAGTATGCCTCTCAAGTATGGAATCCTACCTATAATATTTATTCTACGCGTATTGAACGGATTCAGAAAAAATTTCTTCGCTATCTTCAATTTAGAGTTAAGATCTTTCTACCGAATTACACAACACGTTGCCGAAAGTTTCACATTTTGCCGCTATATGAAAGAAGGCGCATAGCGGATCTATCTTTTCTAATTAATATAGCAAATAGCACGATCGACTGTCCCGAACTGTTGGAGCAAATACGTTTACAAGTTCCATACGCATCTTCACGCAAGCCGTGTAAACTATACGTGCCGGGAGTAAATACAAACTACAGGCAAAATTCTTATTTAATAAGAGTGAGCAAGTGTTTCAATGGCGTGGCGAAAATACAAAATGTAGACTTATTTAACACCTCTAGCAGGCAGCTTAAGCGTCTACTGAGTAATAAGTTTTTCGTTTACTGATGTGTATTACATATACCATGCATTGTTATTTATTTCATTTTACTTTTTAAATCATCTTTTATTGTGTCATTAAATCTACGTCTACGTCACTTGTGCAATTTTTCTCTGTACTTTATTTATAAGTGGGAACTTTTAATTGGCCTTCAGTACATTTTTTTATTTTTATTGTTCATACATTTATAACCAGCTGTAAGTTCTCCTAAAATTGTAATAAATAAAATAAATAAATAAGTAAAGGTGTAACAAAATAGTAATCGATAAGTTAGGGAATGATTTTGCGCGTCAACATGAATAATATTTATTATGGGATCATCTTCGAAATTTTCAGTTTATACGTGGTAGATCCATACTGCATCTATATTACTGGTATAGTTGTAGCACGAATGGGTTAGCTCGACCGGGAAAGGACCACGCTCTCACAGAATGCCAGCGTAAAATAGCAGCTTAATGCTGTTGTGTTTCGTACGGTGAGTGTAGAGAACCGGAGACCCTTTTTACTTGTAAGAGGCATTCCATTTTAGTGCTCACAGTTGACAACGCATCTGCATTTTGATTCGCAAACGATGAATGGTGTAGATGTCTATGGGCCACAGCAACCACTTACCATCAGGTGAACTGTGTGCTTGTCACCCTTATCCTATATAAAAATGCAATTTTAAGCACCTGTAGACTGCAACTTATCTCTGATGCTTTGTTTAATATTTAAATTAAAGTAAGTAGTAATTACACTTGTAAAATAAAAAATAACTTTATTTAATTTTATATCACGTAAAATATATCAGAAAAAAATATGAGTATCCCGAATAACTTTTTGTAAACATATTTCACAAACCATGTCAATGTACGTGACCACTTTCGTCTCAATAGGGTTTAGCAATCAGGAGGAGTGCTCTATGGAGATTAAAAAGCATTTTATTCGATCGAGCATAAAATCACATTGCTACAAATTTGATTAAAATTTTGGTTACGTTTTACGGTTTACTAACAAAATACTGAGCTTTATTAAAAGGCATTAAACTTTTGCTTCATTTATTGTTACCAATTTAAGTATGGACAGTTAAACCAATTCACACGAGTGTGTGTTTATTTTCAGAACATAAAAACATAAAAATAACTTGTGAATCCTTTTCAGCCTGCAATATTCCACTGTAGGACATATATCTCATCACAGTTAGTAAACGCGGTATTAAATGTCTCGCACCTGACTCTCACACCTTGAACGCTAATGTATATTTCATGTCAATTTATTTGGTAGTTCTACATTCAGCACGAGTGGGTCGGCTCAAACGGGGTACACTATCACAGAATACTAGCGTGAAACAGCAGAATATTGCTGCTGTGTTTCGTATACTGACTGTAGAGAATATATATATTTCGTTTCCGGGGCACCTGAGCTTTTGAGTGAGATTGAGAGGTTCTATGGGCAGCTGTACACGTCATCGTTGGAGCCGCACGCAAGTGTGAGTAACGATCCAAGAGCGAGTCTTATCCGACATTATTCCGATGATATCCCGGACGTCAGTCTCAGCGAGATTAGAATGGCTCTCCAGCACCTTAAAAACGGCAAGACCCCAGGCGAGGATGGAATTACAGCGGAGCTTCTGAAAGCGGGTGGAAAACCGGTACTTGAAGTCCTTCAAAAGCTCTTTAGTTCCGTCCTCCATGGTGGCATTACACCGGAGGCGTGGAGCAGAAGTGGGGTGGTCTTGTTCTTCAAGAAAGGCGACAACGCTCTCATGAAGAAC